GTGTTAGCCACTGCCACAGTTCCATCTTCTGGTCTCTCACTAGTGTTAGCCACTGCCACAGTTCCATCTTCTGGTCTCTCACTAGTATTAGCCACCGTTACGGTTCCACCTTCTGGTCTCTCACTTGTGTTCGCTAGTGCCAAAGTTTCATCTTCTGGTCTCTCACTTGTGTTAGCCACCGTTACGGTTCCACCTTCTGATCTCTCACTAGTGTTAGCTACCGTTACGGTTCCACCTTCTGGTCTCTCACTTGTGTTAGCCACCGTTACGGTTCTACCTTCTGATCTCTCACTAGTGTTAGCTACCGTTACGGTTACACCGTCTGGTATCTCACTAGTGTTAGCCACCGTTACGGTTCCACCTTCTGGTCTCTCACTAGTGTTAGCTACCGCCACAGTACCACGTTCTGGTCTCTCGCTAGTGTTAGCTACCATAAAAGCTCCACCTTCGGTCTCTCACTAGTGTTAGCCACCGCCACAGTACCACGTTGTGATCTCTAGCTAGTGTAAGCCACCGCCATAGTTCCACATTCTGGTCTCTCACTAGTGATAATATAACTGGAGTATTCAAGTGGTCCCTTTTCCTTCGCACGAAGTTACAATAAGAGTGCATTGTAAATTGTATACGATCGAAATGGCGTTTCATGATATAGAAGTTACTTTATTGGTTAAAATTTCGGTTACTTAGTGTATGAAATAGTATAAACATATTGAATGGACATCGCATAATGGCATATGTACGCATGAACAATAACATTGAAGTGATTGGACTGTTCTACAAAGATGGAAAACAAGCGAATGGAAAAACACGATCCATGTCTTGTGGGGTTTGTAAGTTGAGTAGATAAATGCTGTATGAGTAACTGCATGAGATAGTTAAAAAAGGATCCTGATGGTCTATTTTTATAATTTGAGCCTTAATTATGAAAAACACCCAAATTAGGAAAAAATGTCAATAAAAGATGTCACTTGCTTTGAGGAAATAGCTGGCTTTCACTTGCTACATTTTCTGATTACATTAAACGTTTATAAAGAAAATTGCAATGCTGCAAGTAGGGTTCATTAAATTCTAAAATAGAAATGTTACAACAAATGTCTATGATATACACGTAAAAACTGCGCGGTGAGAAAAAAAGGAAGAGACCTACAAATTCACCTGAATCAGACTGACCACGAAAACGTTTGGAAATCAGGTATTAAAGTTTTGTTCTTTTCACTATATTTAAGTTTTGTTTTTGATCACTCATTATGCTGACATTTATAACGTGTTTTTTATAGAGTAGCGCTATGTTTCAACACCTACTAAATGGACAATGAATGAACCGAGCAAGTCAGACAGAAGCACTCTGAAGCAAGCGTCCTCCCTGAAAGACTCACACTTGCGACTTTAGTTATGCATAATGTTCACTAGTATAGCACATTTTCAAATTCAACCGTTAAAAATTTCCGTAAAATTAAGTTTTCACAATTGTTAAATATTCTGACAAAACACACGAGTGAAAGCCAGCTATTAATGAAGGTCTTTAATGAAGCAATATAGAAATTTAAAATCTAATGAAATCTAGTAGACATCAAAAATGATTTTTATGCAAGTCATGACGTCACTCTGGTCATTTAATTTTTCATTGTTATTGGCAGGTGAATGGTCAGGTCATACAGACTGAATAATTTTTTCTCATGATTTATATATAGACTTCTGTTAGTTTTTATTTTTCATCTACTTATTAAAAATTCTGTTAGCACTCTGCACTCTTTCATTTTTTGTTCCCTACCAAAGTTTGCGTTTCTTTTGTTCCAACACAAAATATTCACTGTGTTTAATAGGGTAGCCAGCCCACTTTTTTGTCGCTCTGTAAATTTAAATTTTTATATGAACGACTTACGATCTGACTACGCTGCATGTTAAAGTAGATCATCGGGATCATTGGAAACAACAAAAATATGAAACATCTTAAAACTACAAAAATTTGAAGAAACTTTTCAAAATTTTCGATCTTTTTTTTATTAGAGGGTTTTTTACCAGATCCACCTGTTTTCCCTCCCATTTCGTTTTATTTTGAAAAGAAAAACAGTTTCTAGATTTGGGGCCAAGCGAAGCCATTTGTCATAACATTATTTATCGTAGTTATCATGAATATTCACGTTTCTTTTTCATTTCTTGGCGTTTAGGTTTATCTCCTAAAACACTGCAATTTAACAAAATAGATATGCTATGCGTACATATTGGTACCCTGCAATTATACAGCTACTGAATGAAGTAGATTTAATTAACATAGTTAAAATAAAATTATATATTTAATACTATTTACGTCAAACTCGCTCAAGATTGGAAAATGTTCTTTACTTATATGACCTGGCACAAGCCAAACTTCCAAAGACTTCCTTAGTTCTAACCTTAAACATGAGTCATATTTTAACCTTATTTGCGTGAACATAATTTTCACTTTGAATGAAAATGGTTATAACTTGCTAAAATTTTTCGTCAGATAAACCATTGGAAGCTCAACTAACTGTTTCCACCCAAGGTTTATGCATATCTTGTACGCTGATGACTTTGGAGACGTTTTCCAAATTGTTTAGTTTTTTATACACCCTGTAGACTACATGGCAAAGCAATATAGCTTCACAAGAAGCGCCGTGAACATTTCAAATATCGTATGGTCTAATCACCGTACCTATATTAACAAACGGATTGAGAGGGAAAGTCCCCCCCTCCAAGTCAACCCCTCCCCTCAAATGATCAATGTCCTAACTAAATCAAACATCTACAGCCTGCACTTTGTGAGGTAAATAAATCTAGAGATGATGTTCCTCATCTAGTTTTACAGATATCTAGTTAATAAACTAACCTTCCAGCCCAGGGTCACCCTAAGGAAAACATAGAACTGTCAAAGCCTTGAATCTGACATTCTCCTTTAGACTTTATTTCTTTACAAAGTAATTTATTTTTATATTATAACTCAATACTAATATTTATTGTATGATTTATCCTAATGTTTATTTGAATGACCAAATTTTATGACATAAATTGCGACTTTAAATAAGGTCTTTTACAAGTAAGAAAATTTAAAAATAAGCAAATGTTAAACACAGGAAGAATGCATTTACACACTGCGGAAGAACGCTACCGAATCTATTTTTGTGAAATGTTGATTCATGCAACACAGAGCTTTCAAAACTATACTTTTGATCATATGTTACTTTAACATATGTTAGTGTTAAGGTTTACTTTCATTGCATCCTTTACTGTTATATGTATAGTGTTTTTTTATTGATCATAATTATTTAAAGTTGCGTGCAGTTGATAATTAAAATGTATTGATAATTTACAATGGGTTATTCAATAACAAAGGTCTTTTTATAATATGAACTGACTTTTGCAATAATATACATGTATGGAATTTTTGATTAGCGAAGTGAAAAAATCGATTTAAAGTTTTCAAAAATTGTGTCTTAATCATTCACATTCAAATCCTATTTTAGAAAGGTGATCCCTTTATTCCTGAGTTGAAACTTGTTAACCTTTATATTATTTAAAGTAGTCCTTTGGAAGTTGACTCATTTCAATGTTATTATGTACTCTGCATGAGGCTCTTATTTATGTATTTTATTTCAATAACCATTGTTTTTAGTCAGTGATGTACACCTAGCTATAGAACTAGAATGTTCTACAGAGATGTCATTAATGTTTTGTAATATTGAAGGAGATCCTGACTCACTTTTCATCTTCGTTCGTTGTTTAAATGTGTTTATGTAACAAAACTCGCATGGATAAAAATAATGTTACAATAAGGCATGAACTATAATCACCATTTTTAACTGATATATATGTGGTCTTATTGTTTATTTTAAATCTCTCATCCGTTTGTTTAGTATGTGAAATGTAAAGAACTAAAGCAAGCATAGTTTTGTTCACACGGTCGTCTTACTTTTGAAAGGAAAGTAATTTTAGAAAAATTAAGCGATATTTTAGAACTACACTAAGCACATAACAAATTGGCTAAAACAGCATCTCGATAAAATATGACTAAACATGCATGAGAAATCATATCTAAATTGATATACCAGCTTTCTAAATATTGACAATAAGCTGCATGGTAAAGGAAAGCAAAACCTGTTCAAAGATATGGGAGAGGTGAAATAGCATACTTGTCTATGGAAAAAATGGGAATCTGTGAAAATTGATGTGGGGGGGATAGCATGTCCAATCATGCATCACCTCCATTTTTTGCCGACGCCACTTTTGACTAATCGTTGTGTGTCTAACAAAATGGTGTTAATTGTATTAAGTAAACCCTTCATTTTAAAAGTAAGAACATTTGTAAAATAAGCAAATGTTAAACACAGCAAGAATGTATTTACACAGAAAAAGAACGCAACCAAATCTACTTTCGGGAAATGTTGATTCATGCGACACAGTGAGCTTTTAAATTTATACCTTTGATCATATTCAACAGTTTTAAGATTTACTTTCATTGCAACCATTACTGTTGTATCTACAGTGTCTTTATTGATCATAAGTAAATATAATTGCGTGCAATTGATGTTCGCCATGTATTCGTAATTTACAATGGTTTATTTAATAACAAAGGATTTTTATAGTAAGAACTGACTTATGCAATAATATACATGTATGGAATTTTTGATTAATGAAGGAAAAAAATCCATGCACAGTTGCGAAAATCATGTCTTAATCATTGGCATTCAAATCCTGTCTTAGATAGATGATTCTCTATTGCTGAGTTAAAACTTTGTTAAACTTTATAAGATTTAGCAGTAGTCCTTTGGAATTTGACTAATCTCAATGTTATTATGTACTCTGCAAGAGGTTCTTATTTATGTATTTTTATTTCAATAACAATTGTTTTTAGTCAGTGATTTATACTTAGTTATATAACTAAAATGTTCCACATAGACGTCATTAATGTTTTATAATACTGTTTGTTGAAAGAGATCCTGACTCACTCTTCATCCTCGTTCACTATTTAAATGTGTTTACGTAACAAAACTTACATGGATAAAAGATTGATGTAACAATAAGGTATGAATTAGGATTACCATTTTTAAATTGATATGTATGTGGTCGCGTTCTTTATATTAAATCTCTCATCTTTGTATGGTATGTGACATTTAAAGAACTAAAGCGAATACAATTTTGTCTACACGGTCGTCATGTGTGAAGTCTTATTTCTAAAACGTAGGTAATTTGTCGAAAGTAAAGCGAGATTCTGAAACTATATTACTATTTTTACATAACAACTTTGCTACTGACGCATCTCGATAATGTATGACTAAACATGCACGAGAAATCATATTTAAGTTGATTTCCCAACTTTCTAACTATTGGCAATAAGCTGCATGGTAAAGGGTAGTAAAACCTGTTTAAAGGTATTGGAGAGGTGAAATAGCAGACTTGTCTATGGAAAAAATGGGAATCAGTGAAAATTTATTTAGGGGGGATAGCATGTCCAATCATGCATCACCTCCAATTTTTGTCGACGCCACTTTTGACTAATCTCTGTGCGTCTAGCAAAATGTTGATAGTTGCATACAACAAACCATTTCTTTTGTAAGTAAGAAAATTTGAAAAATAAGCAAAAGTTAAACACAGGAAGAATGTATTTACACACAGAGAAAGAACGCGACCGAATCTATTTTTTGTGTAATGTTGATTCATGCAACACAGTGAGCTTTAAAATTATACTTTTGATCATGTTTTACAGTTTTAAGGATTACTTTCATTGCATCCTTTACTGTTATATGTAGAGTGTTTTTTTATTGATCATAAGTATTTACAATTGCGTGCAGTTGATAATTAAAATGTATTGATATTTTACAATGGGTTATTCAATAACAAAGGTCTTTTTATAATATGAACTGACTTTTGCAATAATATACATGTATGGAATTTTTGATTAACGAAACGAAAAAATGCATTTAAAGTTTTAAAACTTGTGTCTTAATCATCCACATTTAAGTCCTATTTTAGAAATGTGACCCTTTATTCCTGAATTTAAACTTGTTAAACTTTATATTATTTAAAGTAGTCCTTTGGAATTTGACTCATTTCAATGTTATAATGTACTCTGCACGAGGCTCTTTTTTATGTACTTTTTTTCAATAACTCTTGTTTTTAGTCAGTGATGTATACTTAGTTACATAACTAAAATGTTCTACATAGACGTCATTAATGTTTTATAATACTGTTTATTGAAGGAAATCCTGACTTACTTTTCATCTTCGGTCACTATTTAAATGTGTTTATGTAACAAAACTTGCATGGATAAAAGATTGATGTAACAATAAAGTATGAGTTATGATCACCATTTTTGAACTGATATGTATGTGGTCGCGTTCTTCATATTAAATCTCTCATCTTTTGTTAGGTATGTGACATGTAAAGAACTAAGCAAGCTTGATTTGGACGACGAGGTCGTCAGATATGAAGTCTTACTTCTAAAAAAGGTAATTTTATAAATGTAAAGCGAGATTTATATCTACATTACCGATCTAACAAATTAGCTAAAGAATCATCTAGATGAAATACGAATAAACATGCATGAGAAATCATATCTAAGTTGATATACCAACTTTTTAACTATTAATCATAAGCTGCGTGGTAGGGAAAAACTGTAAAACCTGTTCAAATGTGTGAGGAGAAAAAATAGCATGATTGTATTTTCTACATGTAGGACGCTGAATTTTCTTTACTTACCTTTGCATCCATCTTTACTGGATACAGTTTCTGAAGAGGCCTTCTTATGTGCAGTGGCTTTCCCTTGCTAACAACTTTGACTTGCCCTCTCTGACTATATTATCTTTTCCCTTTTTCAATCTCTCAATTCTTGCTATTTTCCAAAATCCTCTTTTCAAGCTTTTCTCAAACACAAGAATTGTATCACCTACTTTTGGACACAAACAACCCTTTACTTTGCCAACCTTATGACACATCCTTAAACTTGTTAAGTAATACTTCCTCCACCTGGTTCAAAAATGCTTTCTCAATCTCGCTAAATACCTAAACCTACGTTTGACCACTCCTGTATCTTCGTCATTAATAGTATGCAGAATTCTTTTTTCTGGAATAGATGTTAATCTTCTTCCAAACATAAGATGAGCAGGAGTCAGTACATCTACATTCACTTCATCTTCAAATACATAAGTCAATGGTCTAGAGTTTAACGTACCTTGTACCTCAACTAATGTTGTTAACAATTCTTCCTTGTTCAGTTTAATGTTACCCAACACCTTCCTCAGACAACCTTTCCCCAATACTGCCATTCTTTCAAAATATCCACCTCACCACGGTGTCCTCGCCAAATTAAACTTCCATATCAACCGATTATCTTCAAATCATGATTTTACCTCCTTACTTCCATAAATCCCCTTTAACGCTTTCGCAGTTGCTTTAAATGTTTTGGCGTTGTCCGAAACTATTAGCAAGGGTGCTCCCATTCTAGCAGTAAATCTTCGCATACAATTCAAAAAACAAAGATAACCAAAATTCACTTTCCTTGAATTGTGATGTCGTAAATCCCAATAAACCTAAGTCCGAAGGGTTGTCTACACCCGGACAATGTTTCCAATTATCCCACCTGCTCAATCTTAAAATCTCGTTAACTCTATAGCGCACAAACTGTTTCCTTTCTCCCCTATTACCGATCTAGAACAATGCAGTCATACTGTCCAACCAATAGTATGTACGATGAAATTGAACGTAACCATCTAAGGTCAACTTCACTGTGTCCATCAACTGTGCTAATATTCTAGCTGAAATCAGTTCTAGTCTGGGAACTGTCTGCATATATATTGGCGCTATCCTTGTTTTCGACGTAAGCAACTCTACGTGATAGAAACCGTTTAGCTCTGTCACAAAACATACGACCGCACAGTATGCCTTTTGGCTGGCATCTACGTACCCACGCAAGTAACACTTTACCTTACCAAGTAAATTACCTGATTCTCTCTAAATCGTCTATCCACCTCTCCCAACGTTTTTTTTTTGTCACCTTCCAGCTCATTATCCCATTCAGTTTTCTCAATGCACAGCTCCTGAAACAATAACTTAGCACAAACTACAACTGGACTTATAATACCTAAGGGATCGAATAATCCTGCAAGTATACTTAGTATAATTCGTTTACTTGGAATAATTGCCTTTGCTCTTTCAGCCAATTTCCTGAGGCTAAATACAAAGCGATCCGACTTACACTCCCATCCCAATCCTTGTACTTTCTCAAAACTTCCACTGATACTATTTTCTCCAACTGATACTTTGGCATAAGTTTGCTCATCAACCACTTTCGAATTACTAAATTCTGCCCTTCTTTCCTCAAAATGCTTCTTTCTCTCTTTTCTATTTCTTTCAAATTATTCTCATCGTTACTTAGCCACTTCCTAAGCCTAAATCTTCCAGCAACCAATCGCTCACTTGCTGACTCATACAACCTCATTACTTTCATCTTGGATTGTTAACCGGACACTAGATCATCGACATAAAAATTATCTTTGAGTTTTTTAACATATTCCTTGTCTATCTCTATGAATGAGTTTAAATGATACTGCAGTGTTGCATTCAACAAAAATGGAGAGCAGTTAACCCCAAACACTACTCTACAAAATCGATATTCTAAAGGTCTCACTCTCTTATTGTTTATGTCATCAACCCATAAAAATATCAGGCAGTCCCTGTCCAAAGTATCAACTTCTATATTCAAAAATGCCTTTTCAATATCTGCCACTAAAGCCACTCTCTTCTCTCTAAACCTTATCAAAATATGAAAGAGCAATAGTGCTAATTTGGGTCCTACATGCAAGCAGTCATTGAGCAAGGAAGCCTTGGGTGACTATTTACACCACGCATCAAAAACAACTCTTACCTTAGTTGTTTTTGCTTCCCTGCGAATAACCGCATGATGTGGTAAATAATGTATTTTATTAGCTTTCTCTAGTTCTATCACTGGTTCTATAATACCCCTCCTCAATTGATCTTTGATTGTCTTATCATACTTCTTCTAAAATTTTTGGTTCCCTTTTCAGCCGCACTAACTGACCCTTTAATCTTCTCAAGGTTAAGCTGTAATTTGTATAGTCTAAACTATGTCCTTCTTTCCAAAGCAATTTGACACTGTATCTGTTACCATTAAACACAATAGAATCCCTTAACGATTCATGAACTTCATCTTCCTCTGCTATTCTTAAAGTTTCAAAATCCCACAAACGGTTGACATTCTTATCTAAACTTAAATTTCCTGAACTTTCATGTGCAATGAAGATTACTTGAGTGTGCATGTTATCCAAATCATTTCTTGCTTTCATGGGGCCGGACAACACCCAACCTAACTTAGTAGACACAGCAACTGGTTAATCTATCTGTCCCCGAACAACATTGCCTTCTTGAAACCACCAAAGATAATTTGCTCCAATCAAAACTTTAATATCTAAATTTTCCTTATCCTCGCAAACATCTGAAAACCACAGACACTTTAAATGTGAATAATCCATCTTTCTCAACTCATGTTCATTCAAAATTTGAGATATACGGTCTACACTGTATGCCTCGATGCTTACACTCTCTCCCCCTCGTAAGTGACGATAACTGTAATTGAAATAACTCTCGCAGCTTACCTTTAGTCTTCTCTTGACCAAACGACTTGATTTCTATCCATTCCTTTTTACTAGCCTGAATACCTGCTCACTGTATAATCTTTCTATTTACAAAGGACTTGTTATTTCCTGACCCTAACCAACCATGAGATCCTAGAATAGATGGTTGGTTTGAACATCGCCTGTAAGAATCCCATTGGCTCCACCAATTAACCTATGTTTTGCCTTCCCACATGCATTACATTTATCATTACTATTACAATTCTTACTGACATGTCCTTTCTTCAAACAAATAAAACACCTTCCGTACTTACGAATGAGTTGTTTTCTCTTAGTTACAGTGGTTATTTTCTTACATTCCTCAGGATTGTGTTCCCCGAGATAATAAACGCATTTTCTTTTCGCTTTACTGTTCGTTGACTCCTCGTTGCAACTCTTGTGCTTTGCGTGCAGTGCTGATGCTGACCCCATATGTCTTTGTCGCGACGTTTCTCGTTGTTTCTCCCTATCCTGTCTCTTGGTTTTCTCGCCGATCGGTGTGTGAGCTTCACGCAGCTCCAACTCTTTAAGAATTGCGTTCAACGCATCCTTCATTGACCATTCCGTGAAATCCAACCTCTTGTTATTGTCAATCGAAATGCGTCCGGCCACCTCGCAATGACTTCCGGTACTACGATTGAAGAATATACGGCTTCGTCCACTCCTAAGGCTTTTAAACCCTGGTAGCTTGTCTCGCAGGTGTCGTATAACTGCCGAAGCTTGTCGATGTCTCCTTCGTCCGTTACGAGTTTTACGTTCATTAACTCCTGCATATGCGCTTTCTTGATCACGTTCTTTTTCCCGTATCTTCGTTTCAACAATCCTACAGCTTCGTGATAGTTCGCTGAAGTTTGGTTAAATCCTGATATTGTCGATCTTGCAGGTTCCAGTAGAAGACTCATTAAATATGCAAACTTGTCTATGTCAGCCAATCCGTCATTATTATTCATCAGACTATCAAACGATTCACAAAACTCTTGCCATTGTTGCAGCTGTCCGCTAAATTTCTCTACTTCCAACTGTTAGAGTTTTGCTCTTATAACTCTGCGCGTCTCACTACTCAAACTGCTGTTCAGCGTGCCATTTAATGTCGTTGTTGCTGTTTCAACTGGGACATTGGACTCCTTGACAATGTCGTTCACATCCAAAATTCCTTGCTCGAGTTCTGCCCGTATCTTGTCCGCATCTTCAATTTCTTTTCCTAATTCTTCTTCTGCATTTTCCTCATTGCTTTTGCTCAGCATATTGATAATCACGTCATCAAGGATTCTTAATGTTGCGATCTTGTCGTTCAATCCATCTCGTAGTTGTCTCAGTTCGTTTCTATCAATCTCGCCGTCCGTTTCTCGTATTTTGTGTTTTAATTTACAAGCAATTTTCCTCGCTGATCCTCTATATCCTGCTCGCAGTCATTTCTTTCTCATAAATTCATCCATTATGCTATTGGACAAACAAACTTGAATTTCCAAGTAGATCTCCAACTAAAATATCTCCAACTCTAAGGACCACGTATTGCATTTTTCTCCTTTGCGTGTTACAAAGCAGTTATGCGTCTGCCGATTCGTTTCGGGACTGTATACTGTCCTACTGTAGTGGACACACAACTCTCAATTTTACTCAATATAACTATTCCGCATCACAGATAATCTTAAACATTTCAAAGTTTGATATTCACAGCCAGCGACAGAAGAACCCTGACTTTCAACGTGTCACAACTAATAAAATATTAACATAAGTTCCTATTTCCGTTCTTGCATAAGTTCCTAGTATCAAATAACAATTATCAATTACTTATTTACATAAGTTCCGACAATTAGATT